TTGGTTTCATTTTGGTTACCATTTGTGTGTCTGTGTGTATTTCTATTATTTTATTTTCAACATTTATGTATTTTTTTATTTTTAATGTTTATTTATTTTGAGAGTGGGAGAGAGTGAGAGAGAGAGAGAAAATGAGCGAGGGAGGGGCAGAGAAAGAGGGCAACACAGAATCTGAAGCAGGCTCCAGGCTCCAAGCTGTCAGCACAGAGCCCGACCCGGATTTAAACTCATGAGCCGGGAGGTCATGACCTGAGCCAAAGTCAGATGTTTAACGGAATGAGCCATCCAGGTGCCCAACATTTATGTATTTTTAAAATTTAGTTGTATCTCATAGTGAACAGATGGATTTTTATTTCTTATCAAGTCTGAAAAATCTTTTCTTAATTGGATTACCAAGTATATTTACATTTAATGTAAAAACTGATATATTGGATTGTACACCTAGGTTATATTTTTTTGTCTGATTTTTTTTAAGATTCTAGTTTACTCATTTCTTGCCTTCATTTGGATTGAAAAATATTTTATAATTTCTTTTTTTCTCCTCAATTAATTTGTAAATTACACATTCTGTCCTTATTCTTTTAGTGGTTACTCTAGAAAGGACAACACATATCTATTTATCAAAATATAAATCGAAATGCCTTTGCCATTTTCCTTGTCAATTCAAGGACTTTAAGACATTTTTTTTAATTTTTTTTTCAACGTTTATTTATTTTTGGGACAGAGAGAGACAGAGCATGAACGGGGGAGGGGCAGAGAGAGAGGGAGACACAGAATCGGAAACAGGCTCCCGGCTCTGAGCCATCAGCCCAGAGCCTGACGCGGGGCTCGAACTCACGGACCGCGAGATCGTGACCTGGCTGAAGTCGGACGCTTAACCGACTACGCCACCCAGGCGCCCCAAGACATTTTTAATTTAATCAATAGTTCGAGTGATTTTGTTCTTAAACTATGGATGATGAGAATTTGGATTGCAGCCCCAGGAAGGAGAACTCTTGGGCTGTCCCCCACAGTGGGAGATGATGGGACAGTTCTATGCCTGCTTCCCACTTACATAGAGATGTAGCCCTTCAGTGTCCCTGCCTAATGGAAACAGCCGTCTGTTTGAGCCTTAAGTGTGGGTGTGTTGGGATATATTCTCTGCCCTCCAATCCACTCAAAGCTGAGGCATCTGAAGCTCAAGTTCCCTAGGACCATCAAATGCTCCCCCCAGGGAGGGGGGCAGCTTTGGTGCTCTGCTTACATCGCTGTGTTCCTACCCTCACTGATAATTCCATACCATCTTGTCAGATCTTCCTTTTCATCTAAACTTTTTAGTTTTCAACAGGTGGACTTCTCCAAATCATTGCCATATTACTGGAAATGAAGCCAAGGTCAATTTGTTTTCATATTATTTTGATTCACACAAAATCAGTTTCTCCTAGCTGTCATTGAATAAAGGCAGGACAAATACTCAGTGTGTTAGTTGGATGGGATACCAAGTTACTACTTTCTCAGCTGCTGATACTTGCGATACACGATCCACAGGCCACAGTCTGTCACTTAAGCAACTCAACAGAATGAATAATCAGAATATTGTCTCCATATACCAGCTGCAAACTTCAAAACTCACCTTCCTTCCATCAACAAATATAAAGCAGCTAAAAGTTCTTTTAGGTTTGAGGATAAGGAAGATCCGAGAATACGTTTTTCACAGCTATATGTGATAGTATTTTTTACTCTTTTACAATGAGGACATTGACACAAAAGAAATTGAACAGGACAGCCAGGATAACAATGAGCCCCAGAGCCCATGCTCCTCACTCCCCCAGTTTCATTAATTCTGATGCACAAAAGGGAAAAAAAAATAATTCTTCTCTCTATATAGACTTATAAGGGAGATTTTCCCACAAGTTTTTGACACACAGGCCTTCAACCAATGATTAAAGATTTAAGTTGAATATTTCTTCACTTTTTCCATAATGTGCAATCACGTTATAAAAATCTTCAGTCAGTATTTCAAATTGTCAATTTTCTTCCCTCCTATTCACATTACCTTGAAAGTGTAAAAATTATTTGAAGAAACAATTGAATAATTTATATTTTGATATTTAAAAAATAAGTCAATACCTGGAAAACCATTTTAACATACAGTGAATAACCCAAAAGGAGGTTGTAAAAAGTAAAATGTCATTATTCAGTGGATGAAGGACTACTTATTTCACTGTAACTGACACATACTAATCATCTTTATGGGAACACCAAAGTGTATAAAATAATTGAGAGCATTTAATGAAAATGTGACTGAGTTGACTTAAAAGCTTAACATAATAGTTCACTTAGGATATTACTACATATTGCTACCACTTATGTTTACTTTTGAAATAAATGTGTCAATGAAGACATTCTATTTTATGTAGCTAAAACTTGTATTTATCTTTGAAATAAAATCCCTCTTGCTAAATGAAGATACTCCCAGCCTTACTCAAGCACGCTTGACATAAAACTGAAATGATCTCATTTATTTTATAATTCCCTACTGCAAGAAGAAAGAACTGTCTAGAAATTATCAGCAATCCTTAGAAGGTTTTCAATGCCAATTTAATTTCCCGTATGTAATTATGTGCCACAGACATTGTGCCAGTCAGTCATGTAGCTCAGACGTAGTAGATACGAAACAGATGAATAGCAAAATCCCATATTGTATGAGAAATCAGAGAGAGGTTATTGTAATGCGTAAAAGTTACATGGAAAAAGCAATTCTGTGCTAAGGCAGAATTTTTATCAGATGAACCTCAACCTCAATGTTCTCTTCTCCCAACCCTACACCCTCAAAACAACAACAGGATCAGTCTTACTCTCTTCTGATGCACAAAACATTATCCAAGCAGCTACAGGCAATTCATGGGAGGAGAGAACATCACAAATCTTATCAATTCCACTGATCAACATAGTAGCAAATTAAGTATGTTTGCAGTTAAAATCATGGATAGTGTTGCACTTAATGTGTTGATTGCAGACAAAGAATAAAGACCCTCATACAGCCCTTTGCAACTCTACTTTTGTTTTGATAAGAGGAAATCTCCTTGCTGTTACAAGCTAACATGTAACTCAGAACAGCGTAACAGAAAGCTCTTCAATGGGTCTGCTTCAAAATTAGCTTTTCTGTGTGTGTGATCCTCCCAGATCCTCCACTCTGGCTGGGTGGACACATTCTCTATTTTCCCATAATACTTCCTTTTGTTTGTTTGTTTGTTTTAGTTTTTATTTAAATTCCAGTTAGCAAATGTAAAGAAACTAATATTAGTTTCAGGAGTGGAATTTAGTGATTCAACACTTAACAACGGGTGTTCATCACAAGTGCATGCCTTAACCCCCATTACCTTTTTAATCCCTCCTCCCACCCATGTCCCCTCTGTAACCATCAATTTTTTCTCTATAGTTAAGAGTCTGTTTCTTGGTTTCTCTCTCCTTTTTTTCTCTCCAATGATCATTTGTTTTGTCTCATAATCCTTCTAACACGGCATTTAACATGTTGGTTTGTATTTTCATAAATAAATGTGGATAATAACAATGTCCTCTCAGTGGGGATGGATACATGTAACGAAGCCTCGATCACAGTGACACAAATAAGATAGTCCATGAAATGTGGTTTTCTGAGCCCTACTGCCATGGGACAGTGGATTCTCTGGAGGCCAAGCAGTAGCCCCCACGACCCAGATGCTGATACTTGCTTCCCTCTCCCCACTCTTTGTCTTAGGCCAAGACTCCCCCAAGCAGAGACTCCCCAGTTACCCTGGAAACCAGGGGAAGAGAGAGGACAGCACAGAGGGAGAACCTATCGCTGATCACCAATCAGTGCATTCAGACTACAGGCCTGGCTCCCACTTGAAAACTAAGCTGTACTCCAAATACCTTCAAGAACTAGAAGAATCAAGTACCTGTGTACTTTTAAACAGTCATATTCTGAATTGCTACTGGAAACAATGGCGCCAAGGCTGGGACACTGGGAAGATGCAGAATGAGGATTTCAATTTCTCCTGAGATGGCACAGTTTAAGAATTTACTATATTGCTGATGAGAAGCATTGGGTTTCCCAACATAGGTGTTAAGCTATCTACAGTGATGAATTACATAAAGATGCAAAGTCTGTTTTAGATTTTATCTACTCTCATCTGAACATCTGTACATTCACCTTTAATTTAGGAAAATTATCAAGATTTTTTCCTACTTTTGCTACTTTTCATTTTAAAGTAGTTCACATATAATCAATAGTTCTTGCCAGAATTAGATTCCAGGGGTTCCCTTTTTAAACTTAAACTTTCCCCCCCAAAATATTTTCTAAATACTTACGGGGAGGAGCCAAGATGACAGAACAGCATGGAAGGTTTTTTTTGCATCTCACATCCATGAAATACAGCCAAATCATCACTAAACCATCCTGCACACCTAGAAAACTGATTTGAGGATTAACACAACAATCTGCATCACCTGAATCACAGAACTCAGCAGGTACGTGGCACAGAGAAGTGAACTGGAGGAGAGAGAAGCCACAGAGTGCAGGGAGCCGTTTTTGTATGCTGAGAAAGGACAGACAGGGGGAGAATACAGGAAAAGCACTCCCCCCCTCCCTACCAAAAGCAGGTGGAGAGAAAGTAGAAAAGTGGAAATAGCCACAGGGACTGAACTAAAAAGGGAGAGGGGAGAAAGGAGAGAGTTTAAATTCCATTAAGACTCTATAAACGGGGAATGCAGAGTCTGAAACTCCGCAGCTTAATACCTGGCGGTGCTCTGGTGGGAAGGGCGAATCCCCAGGAGCAGAGAGCAAGGTCTTCAGGCCACGCGTGGAGAGGCGGTTCCCCTGCTGGGAGGTCATCTGGTAGAGTCTGTGCAGCCCTAGGGGTCCCAGCAGACCCCATAAAACAACCACATTCGCTGGTGCTGGAACAAGGTTGTTAAGGGTGAAGCCTGGTGCCCGATGTGTGTTGCGATTTTCCATAATCCTGAAACGCTTCTGCTACCCAATTGCGTGAACGTTTTCTGAGGTGGGCTGGCACTTAGCCGCAGTCTCTGGACATCGGCAGCAGCATGGTCCCGCAAATGTTCCTGAGTGCAGCCGGCACCCGGCCATTGCTCCATGGGACCCTCCCGTAGAGGGTCAGAAAGGGTCAAAACCACAGTCCCCTCACCCGAAGTGAGGGGTGGGGAAATACAGCTGCATCTGATATAAAAGGAGGGAGGTGCCGCCTGGCATTCTGACGGCTTGGTCACAAACAGTGTAAAAGCAGGTAGTGGACTGAAGCTGGAGACAAAGGATGGGTAGGCAATTGCTGATCGGGGAGACTAGAGCTCCCGTACTAGAGACTGACGCCATTTTCACCTCTCCCGCGCATGCGCATACACACACACACCTACGAGCGCCACAATCCACCACAGTAAGCTAAGCAGCGCCATCTAGTGGGTAACGGAGCCATTACACTAAGCCCGCCCAACTGGGCCAACCTCTATCCTCAAGAACACAGGTCTCCCCGCCTGCTTAGTTTACAGACTATCAAGTGTTTCATTGTTTGACTTCTAGGAGAAAACAATGTAATTTCAATCGTATTTCAGTCTGTTCGCTAGCCCATCTATTCATTTTTTTTCTTTTTCATTTCTTTTTCTTGAATATAGAAAGAGGAAAAATTTTTATTTCAATTTTTATTAAAACTATTTTTTCTTTTTTATACTATATTTTTTACTTTTTTGTAAACTTTTCAAATTCTATTTTAATTCCATCATTTCATTCTATTTCATTGTATTCATTTTTTTTCAAATTTTCAAACGTTTTCCTTTTTTTTTTTCTTTTTCCCTTTTTTCCTCTAATCTATCAAGCCCCTTTCAACATCCAGACCAAAACACACCTAGGACCTAGCATTATTTATTTGATTTTTTTTGTGGGTGTGTTGTTTTGAACTTTTTAATTTTAATTTTTTTTTACCTTATTAATTCCTTTTCTGCCTTCAAAATGACGAATTGAAGAAATTCACCCCAAAAGAAAGAGCAGGAAGAAACGACACCTAGGGACTTAACACAGATACAAGAAAGATGTCTGAAGTGGAATTTAAAATCACAATAATAAGAATACTAGCTGGGGTCAAAAATAGATTAGAATCTCTTACTGTGGAGATGAAATAAGTAAAAGCTACTCAGGATGAAATTAAAAATGTTATAACTGAGCTTCAATCTAGATAGATGCCACGGCAGCAAGGATGGATGAGGTAGGGCAGGGAATCACCTATGGAGGACAATTTCTGGAGAATAATGAAGCAGAAAAAAAGAGAGAGACTAAGCCAAAAGAGCCTGATTTAAGAATTAGAGAAATCAGGGGCGCCTGGGTGGCTCAGTCGGTTAAGTGTCCGACTTCAGCTCAGGTCACGATCTCACGGTCCGTGAGTTCGAGCCCCGCGTCGGGCTCTGGGCTGATGGCCCAGAGCCTGGAGCCTGCTTCCGGTTCTGTGTCTCCCTCTCTCTCTGCCCCTCCCCCGTTCATGCTCTGTCTCTGTCTCAAAAATAAATAAACGTTAAAAAAAATTTTTTTTTTAAAAAGAATTAGAGAAATCAGTAACAAATACTTGGAGACTAAAGACCATCCTACTAAGGAATGAATGGGCTAACCAAGAAGTTATAGAGGAAATTAAAAAGGAACATCAGAATCATAGGGGTCCCAGAAGATGAAGAGAGAAAAAGGGGTAGAAGGGTTATGTGAGCAAATCATAGCGGAAAAGTTTCCTAACCTGGGGAAAGACACAGACATCAAAATCCTGGAAGCACAGAGGACTCCCATTAGATTCAGCAAAACTGACCATCAACAAGGCATATCATAGTCAAATTCACAAAATACTCAGGCAAGGAAAGAATCATGAAGGCAGAAAGGGAAAAAATGTCCTTAACCTACAGGGGAAGACAGATCAGGTTTGCAGCAGACCTATCCACAGAAACTTGACAGGCCAGAAAGGAATGGCAGGATATATGTAATGTGCTGAATCAGAAAAATATGCAACCAAGAATTCTTTATCCAGCAAGCCTGTCATTCAAAATAGAAGTGGAGATAAAAAATTTCCCAGACAAACAAAAAATAAACTTCATGACCACTAAACCAGCCCTGCAAGAAATTTTAATGGGCACTCTCTGAGGGGAGAAAAAAAAGGAAAAAAAAATACCAAAAGCAACAAAGACTAGAAAACACCAGAGAAAACCACCAGAAACTCCAACTCTACAAGCAACATAATGGCAATAAATTCTTATCTTTCAGGACTCACTCTAAACATCAATGGACTCAACGCTCCAATCAAAAGACATAGGGTAACAGAATGGATATGAAAACAAGATCCATGCTGTTTACAAGAGACCCACTTTAGACCTAAAGACACCTTCAGATTGAAATTAAGGGGATGGAGAACCATCCAACATGCTAATGGTCCACAAAAGAAAGCTGGAGTAGCCATACTTATATCAGACAATCTAGACTTTAAAATAAAGACTGTATCAAGAGATGAATAAGGGTATTATATGATAATTAAGAGGTCTATCCACCAAGAAGACCTAACAATTGTAAACATTTATGTGCCAAATGTGGGACGCTCAAATATATAAATCAATTAATCACAAACATAAACTCATTGATAATAATACCATAATACTAGGGGACTTTAACACCCCACTTACAACAATATACAGATCATCTAAACAGAAAATAAACAAGAGAACAATGGCTTTGAATGACACACTGGACCAGATGGACTTAACAGATATATTTAGAACATTTCATCCTAAAGCAGCAGAATGTATATTCTTCTCGAGTGCACATGGAACATTCTCCAGAATAGATCACATACTGGGACACAAATCAGCCCTCAACTAGTACAAAAAGATAGAGATCATACAGTGCATACTTTCAGACCACAACACTATGAAACTCAAAATCAACCACAAGAAAAAATTTGGAAAGGTAACAAATACTTGGAGACTAAAGACCATCCTACTAAGGAATGAATGGGCTAACCAAGAAGTTATAGAGGAAATTAAAAAGTTCATGGAAGCCAATGAAAATGGTAACACCACAGCTCAAAACCTCTGGGACGCAGGCAAGGTGGTAATAAGAGGAAAGTATATAGCAATCCAGGCCTTCCTAAAAACGAAGAAAGGTCTCAGATATACAACCTAACACTACACCTTAAAGAGCTGGAAAGAGAACAGCAAATAAAACCCAGGGCCAACAGAAGACAGGAAATAATAAAGATTAGAGCAGAAATCCATGTTATTGAAACAAACAAACAAACAGTAGAACAAATCAATGAAACCAAAAGCTGGTTCTTTGAAAGAATTAACAAAATTGATAAACCACTAACCAGTGTGATCAAAAAGAAAAAGGAAAGGACCCAAATAAATAAAATCAAGGTAGAAAGAGGAGAGATCACAACCAACACAGAGAAACAATAACAATAAGAGAATGTTATGAGCAATTATACACTAATAGTAATCTGGAAGAAATGGACAAATTCCTAGAAACATATAAACTACCAAAACTGAAACAGGAAGAAATAGAAAATTTGAACAGACCCACAACCAGTAAAGAAATTGAACTAGTTATCAAAAATCTCCCAAAAAACAAGAGTCCAGGGCCAGATGGCTTTCCAGGGGAATTCTACCAAACATTTAAGGAAGAGTTAACAACTATTCTCGAAGTTGTTCCAAAAAATAGAAACGGAAGGAAAATTTCCAAACTCTTTCTATGAAGCCAGCATTACCTTGATTCCAAAACCAGAGACCCCCACTAAAAAGGAGTACTATAGACCCATTTCCCTGATGAACTTGGATGCAAAAATCCTCAACAAGATACTAGCCAACCGGATCCAACAATACATTAAAAAAATTATTCACCACAACCACGTGGGATTTATACCTGGGTTGCAGGGCTGGTTCAATATCCACAAAATAATTAACATGATTCATCACATCAATAAAAGAAAGGACAAGGACCATATGATCCTTTCAATAGATGCAGAGAAAGAATTTCACAAAATACAGCATCCTTTCTTGCTAAAAACCCTCAAAAAAGTAGGGATAGAAGGATCATACCTTGAGATCATAAAAGCCATATATGAAAGACCCAGTGCTAATATCATCCTCAATGGGGAAAAACTGAGAGGTTTCCCCCTAAGGTCAGGAAAAGCACAGGGATGTCTACTCATGCCACTGTTATTCCACATAGTATTGGAGGTCTCAGCCTCTGTAATCAGACAACACAAAGAAATAAAAGGCATCCAAATCAGCCAGGAGGAGGTCAAACTTTCACTCTCTGTAGATGACATGATACTCTACATGGAAAACCCAAAAGATTCCACCAAAAAACTGCTAGAACTGATTCATGAACTCAGCAAAGTGGCAGGATATAAAATCAATGCACAGAAATCGGTTGCATCCCTATACACCAACAATGAAGCAACAGAAAGAGAAATCAAGGAATCAATCCCATTTACAATTGCACCAAAAACAATAAAATACCTAGGAATAAATCTAACCAAAAGGGTGAAAAATCTATACACTGAAAACTATAGAAAGCTTATGAAAGAAATTGAAGAAGACACAAAAAAATGGAAATATACTCCACGCTCCTGGATAGGAAGAACAAATATTGTTAAAATGTTGATATGACCCAAAGCAATCTACGTATTCAATACAATCCCTATCAAAATAACACCAGCATTCTTCACAGAGCTAGAACAAACAATCCTAAAATTTGTATGGAACCAGAAAAGACCCTGAATAGTCAAAGCAATTTTGAAAAAGAAAACCAAAGCAGGAGACCTCACAATCCCAGACTTCAAGCTGTACTACAAAGTTATCATCAAGACAATATGGTACTGGCACAAAAACCGACAATCAGATCAATGGAACAGAATAGAGAACCCAGAAATGGACCCACAAACATATGGCCAACTAATCTTTGACAAAGCAGGAAAGAATATCCAATGGAATAAGGACAGTCTCTTCAGCATATGGTGCTGGGAAAACTGGACAGCGACATGCAGAAGAATGAACCTGGACCACTTTCTTCACCATACACAAAAATAAACTCAAAATGGATGAAAGACCTACTA